ATCGTGAGGAAACCTGCATATTTTCGAAATAATAACAAAAAAAAAATATATTTCGAAGATATGTGAAGTCCGCCAATCCGCAGTGGGGCCGCGTGGTGGACTATGCCCTGATACCCTCTGTATAGAGGAGGCCTTTGCCCAGCAGTGGGACATGTATAGGCTGTTACTTTACTTTTACTTTTTTACCATTCCATATGACGAGAACCTCGTGAAAGCCGAAACAGATAAGAAGACGAAGTATCTGGACCTGGCTCTCGAGGTCGATGACCCGAATGGCGTAGTGGGTAGTGTACCTGCCTTCTGCGCCAGAGGGTGTGGGTTCGATCCCCACTACTGGAAAAATATTGTGTGATGAACATAGTGTTTTTCTAGTGTCTGGGTGTTTATATATCTATAATATGTATTTATTTACAAAAGAAAAGTAGGTTTATCAGTTTTCAAGTACCCATAGTACAAGCGTTGCTTAGTTTGGGACTAGAAAATGTTGTGTAAAAATGTGGCCTAAATATTTATTTATAGGTGACCGATATGTCGGGTGGTGTGCTGACCGAAATTATCCCGATAGTCGTATCTGCGAATGGGTTGATCCCAGCCAGCCTCTCCGGACATCTGGGACTCCGGGACGGAACGCTCCAAGCTCTAATGCAGAAAGCGGTGCTCCTCTATACCGCCCGCATCGTCCGCCGGTTTCTCTCCCTTTCACCCTAACCCTCGGCCGTTTGGTCTCCCCTGCCGAGGGCTTCCGTCTGGTTGGGTCCTATTTAAGTATATATGTATTATATACAATATTTACATCTTATATGTTTATTTTTATTAATAATATTTATTTCATATATGCAATATATATTTATATGTTTATTTTTTATCTATAAACCCAACCAGACGAGAAAACAAATGAATATCCCCCCCATATATTTTCTGAATCCCTAATTTTCTAGATTCCTCTTAAATGAATGGCTCTGTAATATAAACATTATCTAAAGGCATTGACTAAGTTTTCACATGTTATATGTAGGTACTCAAAAGAATATTCGTTAATTTTTAATATGGCTGTTTGTTAAATAGCAACGAAAATCTAGCCTTGTTTTGAGGTTAGCAGTCAACACGCAGATATCAGAGGCTTCTTAATCCACCTTTGCAAGGGGTCAAGAATCGTTCAAAGGCTCGAAACTCGATCCTACACAGTTCCTAGGTCATAAACTGAGTGTGTTCGGTATTTCGTTCATCATGTCACAGTCCGCTGACCCCGTGACCCAGTTTCATTAAAATCGATCGTATAATGCTGCTTTGTTAGCAACGAACACGCAATGTTTTGCTAAAACGTACCAGAAACATATGTACAATTGTTTATTTAAGGACCGCAGTAGCGTTAAGCTTTAACAAATAAAATTATATATAAATATTGGATTTTTCCCAAGTCTTGGTAACAGAAAACCCCAGAGGCGGAATCTGCTGTCAACGTTTCTCTCTCGAGTGAACACTTTTATTAGACGACGCCGTTTAAGTCGTTAGACATAATTCTCATCGACATATGTGTTTACCTTAGACAAAACCAATTATGGTTACTGCCGGCCACCCACATCGAAGCGGATGGGACCTGGTATTTTCTCTGTTGATCGATCAAAGTTTTTTCCGCTACATATAACATCGTTGCATTGTAGGTTCCTATAGATAGACGATCCAATCCTCTCCATAATAAGCACCCCTCCAAATACATTGTGTCAAGAAAATTCATCTTGAAAACTGGTAAAAATAAAATGTAATCTCGGAAACGGCTCCAGTGATTTTCATGAAATTTATTATTAATTAAAATTTTTCATTTTCATGCGTAGATTCGGGGGCCAAAAATCGATCTAGCTTGTAGTTTCATTTTTAGAAAATGTCTTTTTATCCCTTAAATCTGGGTGTAAAAATTTATCCGGGTTTAAAAAATGTCATTTGAATATAACTGTAAATTTCGCCGATTTCGCTTAGTTTTTTACTTTTTTTCTATACCAAATCATTGATTTCTTTATTTGTTTTAATTTCCAAAATACACGATTTACCAAAAATAACCGGTCCTCCAGGTACTTACCTATTGTTTGAATCGCGATAGCTGCGTGTTCGGGCTCTTGTTTTTAATTCAATATACTAGAGTACCATGAGTTCAAATGCCGATATCGACACCAATGAAACTGTTGATTGCAATTCAAGTTTTCTTCATCGCTGAGCACGAGATACTTCAGAAGAAGGATCACGTAAAGTACATATTTTCGAAATTATAGCATAAGATATATTTCGAAAATATGAGATGTCTGCCAATCCGCAGTAGGGTCACGTGGTGGCTGTTACTTTACTTTTTTAAACATTATTTTAAGAAATAAACACGTTTTTCTGTGAACGTTTAAGTATTAGTGAAGTTTGCGCCAATATTAGAGTTGTACTATTCTACATTCGATAAGTGCAACAATATTATAATTCATGAAAGCAATTGATATCAACAAAATAAAATAAAATAATCTGCAATCCCTACATTTATTATTAAGCTAAGTACATTCTACAAAGCAACGGTTATTGTATACTTTGAAAATATCAATATAAAACTATCTAGATTATATTAATGACCCGGTTATTGAAATTATTATTAGATGTATACTTGATTTCCGAGTTACATAATAATTATGTTTTCAATTGTCTCTATTTACTCTGGCAGTATTTCTTCCCCATGTCGGTCGCTAAGCTACCTGGAATCACAAAAACAAGATGTAACGCTTGTTTAGCGTCGGTCACGAACGTTATTAATCAATTAGACGCAGTTAAGTAACCCGTTTTGTTATCAAGTTTCGCTGTGGCATTATTGGATAACTAGCTTCTCCTCCCGGATATGCCTCCCTGCCTAATAAATGCTAGTAATACAAAGTTATTGAGTAATATGTTAAGTTTTTTTTTATCTTAAGTTTGTTTATTTGTTATAATGCTATTTAAACACAAAATGTAAAGTACGAAGTAAGAAAAACTCGTTTAAGTAAACAGTAAATTATAAACTCTTAGCTCAATTATAACATAAAACATTAGTTGTTGATACTTACAAGGCAAATTAATACGATGAACGTCCAAAACTTTCGAAATTTTCGCTTGGTCTGCATTGTGTACGAGAAATTGCAAAGCAATTACTGCGTTGTAGCTGTTAAACTCAACAGAAGCGAATTTTTTAACCAATTTTCATTTTATTGTTATTTTATTTCATACATCTGTGACAATTTATTGTATCATGATTATATAAAGCTCGTTTTCAATTCTTAATGTTTTTTTTTTTTATGTGAGAAAGTGGCGGCTGGCGGTTCACTTGATTTTAAGTGATAACTGTCCACCGTGGACATTTGCAACACCCGTCGGCTACCTCACTCACTAGTTTTAGAGTTTTCATTTACATATTTTTTAATAATAGTTTTAGTTTAGTTTAGTTAGTAGTTTAGTTTAATTAGTAGTTTAGTTTGCAATAAAATTGAGCACGTAAATTACTAGTAATGTCAATTTATTATAGATTTTTAAATTCTATGTGAATAATATATACTGTACGATAAGGTAATCCTGTTTAAATTTTTATAGTGCTAATCCTAATCTTTGCACCTAAGATTAAACGTTAAAATTTGAAGAAAAAAAGTACGAAAAGTTTTTCGCCGCTTGGGAATGCGTACCCTCGTCTTCGGGATTCGTGCCCTGACGCTTTAGCCACTAAGCTAAACGGCTAATTGCCGCACTAACGAAATTCTCATAGTCTTTTATCTACATTGTTTTTTTGCATTTGAAGCAATGCTTGGCGCATCCATTGTTATATGTAGATAAAAGATGTTGAGATTGTTTGTTTGTTGAAAAGGATATGCTCATTAAATGAAAACGTTAATATTAAACCAATTTTTCTTTGAAAAAACATGTTAGAAGCTATAAGGAACCACTTACTTTAAAAAAAATCTCTGAAGAATAGGTGTGAAAACTGATTCATGAAATCTGTGAATTGTATCTCTTACTATCTGGGATTTTTAAATATGTTTTCCCATTTAAACTCAATTTTTCCATTAGTTGCATTTTAAGTTTTACCTGTGTGTACAAGACAAAATTTATTGAAGTTTTAGTACAAAATTACAAAATTAAATGATATCGGAGATAATGCTGTAGGAAATAGAAATGCAAAAAACTTTGAGACCGCACAACTGTACAAAATCAAATATGATGAATCAAATTTAGATCGTCTAATCATTTCAGGCCAATGCAGTTTTAGGTAGGTAAGCAAATAATCCAATAAAAATAAGTAACGCTATTACGAGAGAGAAATTCTTTGTGACATCAAACAAATAATTTAGCTTAAAAAGGAGTTATTGTATAAAATATAAAAAAAACAGTTATCAAATAACTGTTTATTTTATAATATAACGAAAGTTGTTTCAAAAATAGTTTTGAGTAAATCAAAATGTATGTAGAAACACATAATCCACATAGTGAGTAGAAGATTAATGATTTCCAACCCTACTAATCCACACGAAGGGAACATCTCGGATAACCTGGGAAAACACGTGGACATTTCATCTTAAAATTAGACAATGCCTGGTGAGGACGGAATTAATAGTTAGTCTTGATTGATGATTTTCGTTTTTGAAGGAACAACGACGTTGTTGTCGGCCAGGAGTATCGTCGTTTTTAAGAAAGGCACACAGACGGACAATTATGAAATAGAGAAAATCTGAAAAGTTTGTTGGACACAGCCTGATATAAACTAGCCGATTTGCCTGTAGTCTGTCCCGTGACCATGAACGCAGCGAAGCATTCAAAACGTCAGGAATTAAATTAAGAATGAAAGCGATAAATCCGTCACTATAGTTTCATTTAGTACTGTAAAGTATATAATCGTCAATTTGCAATATTCTACTTAAGCTGTGGATCGTCTGTTTTCAGTAAATCAATGTAGCTTTTAGTCATTCGGACCTTTTTATGGACAGGTGCGCGTACGCGAATTCTACATCGCGATGCAGCGTTGCCCCTACATCCACGAGATGAAGGAGCGACTGCTCGGCGCGCCCGTGGAGACTTTAGAGGCGAGGGAGGCGCGGGAGGCGCGAGAGGCACGAGAGGCACGAGAGGCACGAGAGGCGAGGGAGCAGCCTCGCGACCGAAACCTCGACCACATGCAAGACTCCCAGGTCGGCACCATCGTCAAAGTAAGATGTCATCACCATCATAACATCAAAACAGTGTGATCGAAACGCCAGATTTTTCGCCATGGACATTTGCACCACTGTTAGGGCTGAAGATGCGTTGGCACCTTTAAACAAAGTGGACTCCGGTTACCTCACTCACCAGACGAAACACAGAAGTTTAAAACTTCTACTTCAGGCCGGTCTTCTGTGAGGTCGTGGTACTTCTACGTATTGACCTGCTTATTTGTGCAACAGTGAACACTGATGCGTAGCCTTATCAAAGCAAAGATTAGAGATTTAAAATATCTTATAATAAAATTGGTTGTTTTTTTTACACTTCGAGCCTTTGTTCAATGGATAACGGATTTTTCCGGTAACATGGAAGTTCCATTACTAAAAACGAATTTTGGTCATTATCTGTTTTCTTACTAAAATTCGCTCCTCTTACCAGTATAAGTCATTTACGGTAGCAATAAAAGAAACGTTGTCTCATGCTTCATCATATTTAATAGTTGTATAGAGATTAATGTATAAACCGATACATTTAAAAATGTGTGACGAAGAAGGAAGTCTGAACATCACATAAACAAAAACCTTTACGATCTATCATGGACTTTGCATTTCTGCGGCACATATTCCTTGCAAAACTTAAATGTAAACTTAGTTCCGCTATAGAGGAAACTATTTTTGCGGATTTATCGCGTTTATATTTAATTTTAGTCTGTTCCGTGACCATAGACGCTGAAAAAGGGTTCGAAACGACGGGAACTATCATATTAAAGGACTTTGGCCTTTGTTCAAGGCTGATGATAATGACGATATCCATAAATATAAAATATACTTAGCAGGAAGGCTTTATTCTTTTTCTTTTTCTGAAAACGTATTCTTCATGGTAAGGTTTTTTTAAGTTTGTAACAAACAAATTTCACGACAGACCACCCAGATGTGAAATTATCTGTAGCTCACGCAAAAGTCTTCATGTGTTAGAATCGAACCAATGACCCATTACGCCGAAGTTTATACCTTGGAAAATGCACACCCGGTAGAAATAAAATAACAGCCTATATGTGTCCCACTGCTGGCCAAAGCCGCCGTCCTCCGTACAGAGGCTATTAGCGAGTATGTAGGTTTTAAGTGATAAGTTTCAGCACTTAGAGTCACAACGTCTTAAACAATTTCAATGGTGCTGACACCGAGTTTTGTCGTTCGAGTATTACTACATAGTAAAAAACAAATCCTTCCCGCTGTCTGTCTGTCCCTATGTATGTTTAGATCTTTAAAACTACGCATCGGATCTTGATGCGGTTTTTTTTTACTAGATAGGGTGAGTCAAGGGTAGGTTTATATGTATGTATAACTAGCGACCCGCCCCAGCTTCGCACGGGTTTAACGGGTCGACAGCGGGACGACTTTGTTTATACTATGTAGTGATGCATTGCACCGGTGCGAAGCCGGGGCGGGTCGCTAGTGCTTAATTAAAAGCAAGTGTCCGCTATCACGCTGTCACGGCGCCGTAACACTGAACTGTCTATCCGCGATCCAGCTGAATTCGGACGGGTGCGGCTCGCACACATCTGAAGTAAAAGCGAGTGTCCGCTATCACGCAATCAGGGCGCCGTAACACGAAACTCTCTATCCACGATCCAGCTGAATTCGGACGGGTACGGCTCGCACAAATCTGAAGTAAAAGCGAGTATCCGCTATCACGCAATCACGGCGCCGTAACACTGAACTGTCTATCCGCGATCCAGCTGAATTCGGACGGGTACGGCTCGCACAAATCTGAAGTAAAAGCGAGTGTCCGCTATCACGCAATCAGGGCGCCGTAACACTAAACTGTCTATCCGCGATCCAGCTGAATTCGGACGGGTACGGCTCGCACACGTCGCCGGCGCGGGCGCCCCTCGTCGTGGACGAGTGCGAGGCGCCGGCGGACGAGACGGACGCCCTGTCGCCCACCGAGGCGCTTCGGTACCGCGCCTGCTGCCCGCCAGAGGCCGCCCCGAAGAACGCCAAGTGAGTAGGCCATAATAACTCAGAGGCATACAATTGAAACCACATTTTTCAAAGTTATTTTTCTTACACAATTTTTTTTAAACATTGCCCTCACTTTACGATAACATTATCCGGTGTTGTAAGGACGTTTTGCAAACATAAATTTCACGTGGACAAACACCCAGATGCGAAATGCGAAACAACTATCTGTGGGTCACACAAATAGTTGTCAAATAGTTGAAAAGTACCATTTCTTGGTCCTTGCTTAGCCAGATTGCCGAGAACAATTATTTTTTGTCTATTTTACCGGAGTGTTCACAGCAGAAAGAAACTTTGAGGAAAATTACTTTTACCAGGGGAAGATTATAAAGGCGCGGGTCACGTTCGTCACCCAGATGTCCTTACAATGTCACATAACGTATTTCATAGCTTAATTCGAGCGCTCGTACCAGGACTTCTTTAACATCAAAAGCTCTTTGAGCAATATTTCCTAAAGACATTACAAAGTCTTTTTCTGTATAAATAATGGGATATAGCCCATAACATATGTTTACCAAAAGGTTCTTCAAGAGAGTTGAAGATCAGTTGAAGATAAAAGAAAGAAATCGTGACTTTTAGCAAACGTCACTTAACGACCTCCCTCGTCTAGTCGGTCGAGGGAGGGAAAAACGGCATACCGGACCCGACAGAGACCCGCCCAAAAAGATTACACAAGTAGTTATATGACACAGCACTCCTTAATTCTCTGTAGCCACTGAAACCAACACTCCGCACACAAAAGTGTACTTCGTGTTCGCGGCGTCTTGGTGTTGGCAGCGAAAATCCTGGAACCATTCTAAACGCTCTCACCAATATAACACAATCTCCCTGGTAATATTTTACACGCGGAGATGTTAGGATATCATCAGGTCCGATAATATTTAATTAAGTTAATCGGAACTTAAGTTTGCAATTAAAATCTCATTGGTCTGGAGTGCGGGACTCTAAATCAGTTTCTTCGAATGCAATGACCGCGCTGAAATTGTGGCTTTTTTATTAACTAAAAATATGTTTGCGGATTCTATCGGGCATAATTTTAGATTTAATAGTCACCGAATGAAATGATTAGTTTATCAATCCTGACATTGCTTACCTTAATTTTTATTTAGTTTTCGCGTACATGAAAATTAGGTTAGTTTTTGTCGAATAGAAAACGTCGAGTAATATAGTCAAAATATCCTATCTATACACTATTTAACCTTTTGGAAATTGGAAAAACCTAATAAACAAATTTTAAACAATTTAACAAATGCGTGTCCATAATTAAAAATTTTAAATAATAAATCATATATTCATCTTATAAATGAAACTATTTTTTGCGTATTTATCGCGTTTATTTTTTTTAATTTCCGACGCCTTTAAAAGTAATTAAAACTGAAAAACTGAACTAATTAAACCTTAAAAAGTAATTAAAATTAAAAATAAAGGCGATAAATCTGTAAAAAAATAGTTTCATTTATAATGTGTAATACAAATGGCGAATACATCACCCACCTCCGATTTGCCGACGATATAGTCATCATGGCAGAATCGCTGGAGGACCTTAGTACTATGCTCAATGACCTCAACAGTTACTCCCAACGGGTGGGCCTTAAGATGAACATGGACAAGACGAAGATCATGTCTAATGTCCATGTCACGCCAATACCGGTTGTTGTTGGGAGCACTGAGCTCGAAGTTGTTGACGAGTACATTTACCTAGGACAGTTAGTCCGGCTAGGTAAGTCCAACTTCGACGCAGAGGTCAATCGGAGAATCCAACTCGGATGGTCAGCGTTCGGGAAACTACGGCAAATCTTCTCGTCAAATATACCTCAATGTTTGAAGACTAAAGTCTTCAATCAATGTGTGTTGCCAGTGATGACCTACGGAACCGAGACGTGGTCCTTCACTGCTGGCCGTATGAGGAAGCTCAAAGTCGCTCAGCGAGCTATGGAGCGGGCTATGCTCGGTATTTCTCTGCGTGATAGAGTTCGTAACGAAGACATCCGCAGTAGAACTAAGGTGACCGACATAGCTCAGAGGATTAAAAAGCTGAAGTGGCGATGGGCCGGCCATATAGCTCGTAGAACCGATAACCGTTGGGGAAGAAAGGTTCTCGAGTGGCAGCCTCGTACTGGCCATCGCAGTGTGGGACGACCCCCCACTAGATGGAGTGACGACCTGTGCAAATGTGCGGGAAGTCGATGGATGCAGGTGGCTCAGGATCGTACTTCGTGGCAGTCTATGGGGGGGATAGATATGATGTTGATGATGATAATGTGTAATCGCGTAAATACTAGAAATTATCACAATCTCTCTGTTAATTTTATACTAAATATTTTTTCAACATTGATATCATCTATTGTCGTGTAGGTATTAGTAGACGAAGTTAAAATTGTCGGTCCCCAGAAGCAGAACAAGAGTCCATCCCATCTCATTACCAACACAACGCAAACACAACAAACATTGCTTTCGCATTGTACTGAGAACGGTATTGCTGTTTAGATAGAAACTACGTCTACACAATGCATGTCGAGCGAATGAATGAATTAACAATTTATCTGCGAGCGTACAAATAAATCTTGTTAAAGTGGGAACTACAATTCGTACTGAGCTTAACAAATAATCCAAAAGTTTTACATTGTGTACGTATTTTGAAAGCATATTTTACCAGCGAAGGAAAACAACAAAGGGAAAAGTATGTTTAAGTTTGTTTATCTGTTACTCAGTATTTACAGTATGCGTTATGAGTACCAATCTTTGCTAACCTTAGGACTAGATAACGTGCGAAAATATGTTCGGAAACATTTGTTTATTTATAATTATTCATTTTTTTTTCATTTGTTACTTATACATCCACGCTAAAGCTCTAATTGCTTCTATAGCGTTAATCTATTTAAGAATTTGAGAACAAATGTAAAGAAAATACGTAGAATTAATTAGAACGTTTTTATCGACAAAAACTGTCTTCTCTTGTACGTTGTCAAGAAACGTATTTATAAACTTATAATGCGGTTAACTTTGGCATACAGGTTTATATTTATAAACCTGTATGCGAAAGTCGGACATAAATGTTTGTTACAAGTAGATGATATCAACTCCTATTATTATTTCATCGTAAGCTCGATAAGAACTAAAATATAGATGTTTCCTTATTGTATGCTTAAAACAAAAGTTACTCCTATGTACCTGCTCTTATACGCAATTTTTACAGTCTAATTGGTTCTGGGCTCTTAGCAGAGACATTACTCTCTTATCCCTTTATTTTCAAACTACTTTCTTTGTCGTACTAAAGTAGGTTAACTTGCCCTATTAATAGGGAACAAATATAATGTCGGTATTATAAAGGCTTCAATGGACAATTTAAAAATAAATAAAGGGGAGGAAGCTGTAATCAAAGCGTTCATACATCGCATGGACGGACAATCGATTAAATGGTCCGCATACCTATTCTCGCATGAAGCACGTGCGACGCCAATCAGCGCGCAGACTGACACTTATCTCTGTGCAATAGAGCTTAATTTAGATTGTCTCTCAACGGGCTCATTTAAACTCGAATGGGATGGCGGTCCACTGTCGGACATGGACTTTGTGACGACCGGTCGCAGGCTGAATGCCTGTGTATCGGATGTAAGAGTAACGAGAGTAAACATCACCTAGATCTGTCTTTTAATTTAATGATTACTAGCGACCCGCCTCGGCTTCGCATGGGTGCAATGTATTACACATATAAACCTTGCTCTTGAATCACTCTATCTAGTAAAAAAACCGCATCAAGTTCTGTTGCGTAGTTTTAAAGATCTAAGCATACATAGGAACAGGCAGACAACGGGACGACTTTGTTTTATACTATGTAGTGATACACACACGTTGAGTCGTTAGCCTTCGTAGTGCATGTAAACTACTTTAACGGTACCGGGGACAACGAAAGTAAAAATAAAATGTAAAAGATTTTATTAATTTTAATTATAAACTCATTACGATAATTATAACCGACTAAGAAGTTTTAATATTTGGAGAATTTACCGCTATGTACCTAACTACATAAAGTAGAATCGCAGCTACTACCGCCATCTAGTTTGCAGCGATCTATAGAATATGGAGCTCTGAAACTTAAACATTTTAAATGGTTATTACTTAAACGTATTTCTTGCCTGTGATAAAAAGTCGCTCTAGATAATAAGGCACATATGTAATCATTTATTAGGACATCTACATTTTCCATATTTTATAGAAGCTAGGATCAAGGAGTATACAAATTAATTAACAAATGTTTCAGAAAATATGTTTACACAACGTTATCCAACACAAAACTAAGCAGAGACTTAAATAGGTAAATGAAAAACACATTTTTTTATATATAAACACCCAGACACATAGATAAAAAACACGAAGTTTATGGAACAATGTTTAGGAGAATCAAACCTACGTACTACTTATACAATCATTCACGCTATAATTAGCAAATTACGAAAGAACTGAATATGGGGATATCTAGATGAGCGAAATATATCAAAATATTATTCTATGCACATGGTTAAGGAACTGGAAAATACTAAGAGTATTCATCTGATCACACACTATATGTGTGCCTGTTGACAATAATTAATCATCGGCTAACGGGAGATTTCTTTGAAACCGTCTGAATGAAAAACAAAGTGACATCATCAGATATAGAAATGACGAAAGACTATTACAATACAATGAATAATCATCGCTTGTACCTAATAGACGTTTACGTATCACGTAAATACTGATTACGGTAGCTATTAGAGAGAAATAACAATGAATACAATTCCTAGACATCTAAAACACGTCATTATCTTCAATGACATCTAAACTTAGCTAATTAATATGACGTAATGTTCTCTTGCATTGGTGGACACAATGAAACTATTCTGTATTGTATAGTGGTAAATATTAAGAATAAACATAGTACAGAGAATAAACTGCGATGAAGATTATTCAAAAGCTTTCGCTTAGAAAAAGTCTATAAATAT